ATAAATTCAGTGTTTCGAGGCCTTAAAACCTCCTTTTTATCTCACCTCGATTTGCGTGTGTGGTCCGGACCTATATCCGGAAAGCCTTCTATGTGAAAATATGAGAAATAGAAATTCCTAGAGTTAAAATTTGATTATGGTTGACTTTAGTCAACATTTTTAGAAAACGGACCCGGATCCGTGTTCCGACGATCCCGGGAGGTCCGTAGGAAAATATGGGACTTGGCCGTATGCCCGGCATCGAATTCCGAGGTCCCAAGCCCGAGAAATGAATTTTTAAAGAAAATTGTTTTCTAGAAAATATATGAGTTTTTGGAAATGAAATGTGTTTGAAATTTGATGGTATCGGGCCCGTATTTTAGTTCTAGAGCCCGGTACAGGTTTATTTGTGATTTAAGTTGAGTCTGTGAAATTTGGTAAGAAACGGACTTGAAATGACGTGATTCGGACCTTATTTGAGAAAATTGGAAAATTTTGATGTTCTTAAGTGATTTCATGATTTTGATGCTAAATTCATAGTTTTTGATGTTATTATGGTGATTTGAATGCACGAGCAAGTCCGTATGATGTTTTTAGGTTGGTGTGCATGTTTGGTTTTGAGCCCCGTGGGCTCGGGCAAGTTTTGGATAGGCCACGGAGTGAAATTGGGACTTCGGATGTTGCAGATTTTAATTGGTATATTGCAGGCCTGCAGGCTTCGCATTTGCAAAGCCTGGCTCGCAAATGCGAAAGTTATATCGCAAATGCGAAAGAGACCAGGCCAGCATTACCTCGCAAATGCGAGGTACTCATCGCAAATGCGATGCCTCCAATTGTAGCTAGTCGTCGCAAATGCGACAAATTTATCGCAAAAGCGACTTCGCAAATGCGAGAATAGCAGACTTCTGGGTTCGCAATTGCAAACCCTGGTCGCAATTGCGATACCTGCAACCTGTAAATTCATAACTTAGACGCATTTCAACCATTCTTCGCACTCTTTCAAAACCAAAACACTCTTGGGCGATTTTTCAAAGACAACTTCTCTTCCAAATCGATTGTAAGTCATTTCTAACTTGTTTTTTTTAATCTTTAACATCTTTTCACATGATTTCAACTCAATATCAATGATTTTCATGGGGGAAATTGGGTGTTTTGGGTAGAACCTAGATTTTTCAAATTTTGGGGATTTGGACGTCGATTTGAGGTTCGATTTCAAAACAAATTGTATATTTGAGTTCGTGGGTGAATGGGTAATCGGATTTTGGTTCGAACCTCGAATTTTGACCATGTGGGCCCGGGGTCGATTTTTGACTTTTTGGGAAAAACTTTAGAGAACTTATTTTCGTGCATTAGAATTGATTCAGTTAGCATTTATTGATATAATTAACTTGTGGCTAGATACGGGCGAATCGGTGGTGGAATCAAGAGGTAAAGCCATAGTTAAGGCTTGAATTGTGTTCGAGGCATCGAGGTAAGTGTTTGGTCTAACCTTAGCTTGAGGGATTAGGAGTTGTATCCTATTTGCTATGTGTTATTTGTTGAGTACGACGTATAGGCATGGTAATGAGTATCTATACGTCCGGGTCAAGCATGCCCGTGAGTCTTATATTGAAATCGTTGTGTTCTTAATAATTACTACGAATGCCTAAGTTGTTGATTTTTTTTGTGTTGGGCAAGAATTATGATTATTCCCGTGGAAGTTGCTAATGGTTGAGTAATGGTGCTAGTTGAGGTTTCTTTTGTGAAGTTAGATGTTGGAACAGGTTTGGTTATAGCTGACTCCCTTACCGGGACGTATTTACTTATATTGTCGATTCCCTTGCCGGAATAGTGTTGTTTCCTTATTGTTCCCTTGCCGGGACTTTTTTTTTATGATTGGTGTTGAATTGTATATTGCGATCGGGTTGCACGCCGCAACAATTTTATATTTGGATCGGGTTGCACGCCGCAACAATATTATATTTGGATCGGGTTGCACGTCGCAACAATTATATTTGGATCGGGTTGCACGCCGCAACAAATAATATATTTGGATCGGGTCGCACGCTGCAACAACACTATAATTGGATCAGGTTGCACGCCGCAACAGTGATAAATGATATGGATCGGGTTGCACGCCGCAACAGTATTTTTTATGATTTGGATCGGGTTGCGCGCCGCAACAATAAATGATAAAAGTGGTTGTTGATTGGTTACAGTTTCCTTATTCTTTCTGCCGCAAATTTTAGATTGTTCTTTATGTTTTTCTCCTGAATTACTGTTGGTAAATGATATCCCCCCGTAGCATGTCCCCTTCCCATCCTTAATTGTATATTTCTGTTTTATTTTCCGTTGTATATGATATAACTGCACATGTTTATTTGGTAGTCTGGTCCTAGCCTCGTCACTACTTCGCCGGGGTTAGGCTGGGCATTACCAGCACATGGGGTCGGTTGTGCTGATACTACACTCTGCACAGTGTGTAGATCCCGGAGCAGCAATATTCGGACCTTAGCTTAGGTGGCTGCCTTCAGCCCAGTCAGAGATTTCGAGGTAGTCTGCAGGTGTCCGCAGGCCCTGGCGTCTCCCTCTATCCTTTCATCCTGTTTCATTTACATATTTCAGAAACAATGTATTATTTATCTTTCAAACCTTATTTGTAGTAATTCTATACTGTCTGTGAAGCGTGACACCAGTTCTGGGTAGATTTTGTTTAAGATGTTGTATCGGATATATATTCAAATGGTTTTATTGATTCTTCCGCTTGTTTAAAATTCCGTTGTTTATAAGCTATTGTTTCATAATTGTAAAGGATTAAAATGGGAAAAAGATATTTTGTTCAAACAGTTGGCTTGCCTGCTTTCATTAGTAGGCGTCATCACGACTCCCGAGGGTGAAAAATCCGGGTCGTGACAATAATCTAAAGATACCATGAACAAGAGGCAGCTACAACAGGGACGCAGGTACATCTTCAAATCCAGCTCCCATCGAACACATCAACAACAACAGCCAACATCTGCACGCAAGGTGCAGAAGTGTAGTATGAGTACAACCGACCTCATGTACTCAATAAGTAACAAACCTTACCTTAAGTTGAAACTAGAGACGAGCTGGAACAAAGGACGGGTCCAACACCAATAGCCGACACCAGTTCATAATAACGTAAAGCAAGTAATAAAAGAAATAACTCGGAACTAAAAATGCTCAACTTATTCATAATTCCCAAAAATAGTTTCGTTTTTCAAGTATATCAGTGAAAACACAAATCCTTTACCGAAATCGTCAAACTACGAATAAGTTTGAAAACTGAAGTTTTTCCCCAAAACCGTTCATCAGGTAAATGTTTCATTTCCAGATAACATGAGGAAAGTACATCTCTATTCCTACATGTCAAGATACACGTAAATCATGAATGTCACCAAAACCGGGCAGCAAAAGAAAATACATCTCTATGCATGTATCTCAAGTACGCAAGTCAAATGCAATGCCTCTCAGTGATGAACTCATGTACTCACACTCTCAGAATATTTGAATGGGGTGTTTAAAGTGAAAGGATATGTAACGATCCGACCAGTTGTTTTGAGCTCTAGCGCATCGTTCAGCGGTTTGAAGCCTGGGTAGCTTCGCTTCATGTATTATAACTTGTAGGCGTAGTTGAAATTGAATCTCGGGAAGTTCAGAGTTGATTTAGATGGAAAGTTCTCAATTCGGAAGCTTTAAGTTGGAAGAGTTGACTAATGTTTGACTTTAGAGTAAACGACATCGGAATCGGGATTTGAAGGTCCCAATAGTTTCGTATGATGATTTTGGACTTAGACGTGTGTTCAGGTTGATTCTCAGTTTTTCCACACTTTTCGGTTCTTCGTGGATGAGTTGAAATTTGAGAGGCAGGAAGCTACCGAACGTTAATGGATGTATATGATGTTGAATCCCACTCGCCGGTGTGACTAGAGCAGACATCACCGCCGATAAAGGTACAATGGATAGTGTAGAAGTTATTTTCTCACAGTTTGTGTACGTTAGCAAATCTCACTAAACGTGCGCCGGGAGGAAAAACATGACTTCCACTAATAGCCATATAGGTGGGTAATAAATTATTTAATAAAATTGTTAATGATTGCAGGTCATTAATGCATCAGCAAAGGGTTACTCTCCAACACACTTCAGGCAGGGGATTAAGATTGCTCATCAACTAGCAAAAAGGAGCCTAGGAATGGATAACCAAGTTTTTGGAGCAGCTGAAAAAAGTAATGCTCAGAAGAGTAAAAAAGTTTTTGTTGAACCACCTAGTGATGTAATAGATTTTGTGGAAATTGATAGACTAAAAACTACTACTCATGAAAAGATGTTATGTAATGAAGCTTGCCAACTGTTAGCAAGCTTAGGGAACCAGTGTATCCTTCGTGACGCATCTTATGTTAATCTTCAGGTAAACAATATTATACTCTGACAAAACTGTAATATTTTTTAAATAAAATACACGTCCAAATATAATATTAAATTTTAATATATATTTTTCAACATAACTTCAAAAACTACTATTTTTTTTCAATAGTCATATTTTTTATGTCCGTATTTGGTAAGTTTTTTATTTATAGTAAACGAAATATTTTGGAAGCACTTTTTCCCCAAGTTTGGTTGCAGAGGATGCTGTAGACACATTTGCTCAATTTTTTATTTTTTTTTGGCAAAAAACAATTCATTTCCTCTTTTCTATTTACGACATCCCAAATTACTTGGTATTGTTTTATTAAGTTGTTACATTTTCATAATTTCTTAAAGAAACTTCAGTATTTTAAATTGTGTATTTGAATGATTATGATAATAATATACACTCTGATCTCTCTATAACATTACCCCTATATAATAATCATTTACTATAAAAATTAAATTTTTCAAAATCAAATATTATATTATATTATATTATATATCCTTTATAATAACACTTCACTATATCGGCTAAAATATTTTTGGTTATAGAAATGTTTGATTCTATTTACATAATAGGCGGAGTAGTAAAAATCAAAGAAAAGAAGATTCTCACGGTACCGGACCCCACCTCCCTCGATCAAAAGAGACACCCCCTCCAAAGATAATAATAAAGTTAGAAGAGTGTGTGTGTTTGAGAGGTGGGGTTGTCTTAAACGGAAAGAAGAAGAAAAGAAATTTGGTATATAACAGTAGCAGAAACTGAAAAAGTTTTTGATGGAAATAGACTAGAATAATAAATAAATAAATAAACATAAGAAGGGAAAGAGAAAGAAAGAGAAAAAAGGTACTATATTGTATTTGATCCAGAACTAGAAGGGGTTGTGGAATTGGGTAAAGGCATTTAGGGGATGACGTCTTCTACTAGTAGTGAGAAACAGCCATTAGTGGAGTTAACGAAAGGCGTCAATGGCCTCGAAAAGGTCCTTCTCCGGGAGGTTCGCGGCAGTTCTGCCGAGGTACATCGCCTTTTTTTTAAAATGTCATTTTCGTTTTTTAGTGGGTATGTATAGATTTTGCGAGAGATCTTTTTTTTTTTCTGGGTCATTCTGAATTATCTTATGATTTATTGGATTGTTACTTGTTTTTTGTGTAGATTTTGTGGGCAATTTTTGTTGTTATAAGGAATACATGTTTAATTTCTTGAATCTTAGTGGTTTTTGTGTGGATTTTGTGGGTATCTTTGTTAGCTTTTTATTATCATTTTTTTTTTGGTTTGTTGAAGTTTAGGGGGTAATGTTTTGATATTTGGAGAGATCTTTTATTTTTTCTTGCTCCGTGTAATTGGGTTTCTGGGTTATTTTAAAAAATTATGATTTCTTGAAGTTTAGTGGTTTTATACATAGAATTTCTTTTTGATCTCTTGATGTTCAATGGGTAATATGTGGATTTTGTGGGAGATCTTTCCATTTTCTTTCTTCGTGTAATTTGGTTTCTGTGTTATTTGGGAAAATTTGTTATTTCTTGAATTTTACTGGTTTTATGTGTAATTGGGAATTTTTTTTAAGGAATAAATGTTTTATTTTCTTGAATCTTAGTGGTTTTCGTGTAGATTTTGTGGGTATCTTTGTTAGTTTTTATTGGGTCCCTTTTTTTTTTTTTTTGATTTCTGGAATGGTTTATCTTTAAATTTCTGTGATGTTTTGGTATAGATAGAGATGGGTTTTGTTTTTAAAGTATAGGGTTGGGAATGGGGCCATTAGGGTGAGGATCTGAATCTGTGTAGCAATTCAGTAGAATGTCGATTGTCGTTGTTTGAAATGCTAATATGGTTTATTTGGCATTGCTTTAGTTTTTGCTTGTGTTTGTTTGTGTATACACTGGAGAAACTCACATATTGGGCTTGTTATGTTGAATTGGTTTGAGATGAACATAAAACCTTCAGTTTCTGAAAGTGCATGCATCGGTAGAAACCCATAAAGAATGGATTACACTTAATATAATATCCCCTTTTCTTGGATTTTACTGGGTTGTTGTTGTTGTTGTATAATATCCCCTTTTTCAGCCTGTTGGAGTGGCTGCCGTTTTGAAGTAGTTGACTATTGCGTTTGAGCTTTTGATGATTAAGCAGTGTGGCTTTATTGGAACTTGAAATGAAAATATTTTTTCCAGACCCCACTTGTGGGATTATACTGGGTGGTTGTTGTATTGTTGGATGTACTTTCAAATCAAAACCAAGAGGATTAAACCTCTCAAATCTCTAGGAGAGCGAAAGTGTATTGAAACAGGTGTGTACCCCAAGATATGCTCCGCACTTTCAGGTTTCATTCAGCAACAGCCTTGCTCCTTGTGCCTATTCTTACATTTGTAGTTATTACTGACTCGCATAAGTTTGTGAAGAGTAGTCAGGGAAGGTATATATATACTGTATACGTTAAGCTGGTGAATGGCGTTGCAAGATTTCGCCTGACTTTCCTCCATTTCTTATTACTGACTTGGTGTACAGAGACCTATGTCTTCTGTTTGAATGAATTCTCATTATCAGGTTTTCCTTCTGGGAGAATCTCAAGCAACCTTTTTTTTCTTGGGTGGAGGATTGGGTTTTTTTCCTGTTTACAATATGCAAATTTTTGAAGTTTGCATAAAGCTCTTTTGTGTTCAATGTGTCATTATAATTTTTTCTGCACTCTTTTATATGCTTTTAGCATTTTAGTTTAGTTATCAACATCCCTTCTTAAGTGTCCTCCTTTGCAGGTGTATCTCTATGGCGGTCAGGTGACATCTTGGAAGAATGATCACGGAGAGGAATTGCTCTTCGTTAGTAGTAAGGTAATTTTTCATGTTGTACCTTCTTGATGGAATATTCTGTCAAACAGCTATTACAAAAATGACTTTCCGTTAGTTTCCTATGTATTCTGACTGCTACTTTTGAAATACTTATGGATCAATTTCTAAGGCAAGGTTTTGGTTGGCGGAGGGAAAGCTAATTACAAGAATTTCTGGAATATATTGTTACAGAGAATTTTTTCATCGTCTTCCCATTGAGTGAGTTGAAGAGTTTCCTCACTTCGCTGACCACCTTTGACCTATAATTTGGGCGGACTATCCAACACATGGTTCTATGAGTGCCAAAACATTTAGCTCTTGTGTTGGTTGAACATGCTGAAAAGATCAATTGCTACTGAGACCTAAAACAATACTTAGTAGTTAGTTACCTGCAGCCTGCAGGAGTAAAAGTGTTTTCAAATCTGGAGAATGGAGATTGTCTTGCTTCTTCAACCTTAGTGGAAACATTAGCAAGTTTATTCTGTTTATACAAGTCCTTTCCCCTCTGAATGTTTTGGGAGATTTTAAATAGGGCATGTACGTTAGCAGATCGGGGAACATAAACAGTTGTCTATTCGTTGGAAAAATCACTATACATATTGCTTCTATGTTACTTGGAACCTCCAAAACCTCTTGCCGTGCACCCGTGTCAATCCAATACAAATTGGGTGTGGTGTGGGATATGCATCAGGTTGTCAACTCACCTGGGGTGCAGAGGCTGAAACCATGACCAAGAAATTTAGCTTGGTTGAATTTATTGTTTCGATTTCCTTAGTTACATTTTTTCCCCGATTTGTTAGGTTTTGTGTGTGTATCATATATATGCATGTATTTATGTATATAGCTATGTACTTATACACACAAAAAAAATAATCCTTCTCTCTTAAATCTTCAAGGCTGTAAGCTTAGGTAGTGATGAGATCTGTTCATACGTATGTGTATGTATACACCCATACATACATTGATATGTGTCTGTAATTTGTATGTGTACTATTTATACATACGCACACACGATGATCCTTTTTAGTTATATCCTTAAGGTGGTAAGCTTTGGCAGTTGTGAGAGCTGTCCTTATGTTGGTAAACCTACAATGGATCGGATTAGCCCGTATTATCCGTAGTTTGTGACGCACTTATGTTTGGACCTAATAAATTTGAAGGTAAAGCAGTCAAGCCCTATCTAAGTAAAGTTACTGCCCTTTGGGGATTGAAAGTGGCACTCTATCACAACAAGACAAGTTGATGGACCAAGTTTTGCCTGGGGAGGAATTGTTTTCTTTATGTGTAATGTATAGGTTTATCCACATAAGGTATCTTTGTCATTCACATGAATGTATTAGAATTTGCTGCTACTGTATGAGATATCCTTATGGAATAAAAGAATTTATTTATAGTTGGGTTAGTCCAATGAATTTTCAGTTAAATACTTTTATACACTATACAGTTATTACTCATATCTTAGCACCCAGTACCTGCACTCCTGACTGTATCCCTGGATCTTATAATTTTGCTGATGACATCCGACTTCCATATCTACACCTGTATTGGATACCTCCACCTGTCTTCAATAGATTGTGTTGCTGATAAGTTTCTGATTATAGTGGACTTTGTTATGGACATTAAGTCAAGTCAAATTGTCTTGATTTTTGAATGAGATGGGCGTTGTGTAGAATTTGAATGCCTTCTTTTGTTTCGTTTGTATAACCCCTTTACTTGGGGTAGCATATCCGTGGTGCCCATTCTAGTACAAGTTTTCTATTTACCTAACTAAAAGAGGCGAAAGAAGACGTAAATCTTTGTTATGAAGCACAATTTGAACTTTCTTCTTGATTCCTTTAATGCTGGCTATAGAACCATGTCCTGCCACAGACTTCACCTAGTAAACTGTCATGTAACAATTTAGTTGGGCATGAGCTTTTTTAATTGGTATAATTGGATGAATATGATGATATAGGTTTATAATTGTATTACTTTTAATCTACTACAACTTTGCAGGCCACTTTTAAGCCTCCGAAAGCAATTCGTGGTGGTATTCCTATATGTTTTCCACAGGTATTTGATTTTGAAGCATCTTCTTGACTTTGCTATTTGTTGCTCATTTTGGTAACAAAATATGCTGCTTTCTCTTTGCAAAGTTTGCAAATCGTGGCTCTCTTGAGCCGCATGGATTTGCCCGAAACAGGTTTTGGAGCATTGACAAAGATCCTCCTCCATTTCCAGCAGCTACTTCTTCAAGGACTTTTGTTGACTTGATTCTGAAACCCTCTGAGGAGGACTTGAAGATCTGGCCTCACAGGCATGGATATATACTGTCAATATACATATTAGTCTTTTATTAGGCTTCTTTGTTACTTCTCTCTCCTTACATGGATCAATAATCATTTTTAGTTTTGAGTTCCGGCTGCGGGTAGCTTTAAGTCCCGGTGGAGATTTGATGTTGACGTCTCGAATTAGAAACACCAACACTGATGGAAAGCCTTTCTCATTTACATTTGCGTATCACACCTATTTCTCTGTTTCAGACATCAGGTATGTTTACCAATGTGGTTTATATTTTCTTCTTTGTTTTTCCTCCTAATACTTGTTCCCTTTCAGATTCTGAAAAATTCACAAACTTAATTGCAGGTAAAGTGACTGATATATTACCATGATAACTAGTGTTGGCTTTGTATTTCCATGAAAACTCGTGCTTGGTAATGAAAAAGTTCAGCGGGAATAACTATGGGATTAATTTTACGAGGGAAAACATGATATGGGTAGATTTACTAATTTGAGGTATCTTTTTCTTTCACCTTCACTTATGTTGGAGTTGCAAAGGGGACAGAACGTCTGAGGAGTGATTGCGTGAAATGTCTTTTTATAATAATTATTATCACTCGCACTAATTTTGGTTGATGTAGGTAAATGTGAATATTATATGCTTTTTAGGAGTAAATAAGGATTTTATATATAATATAGAGATGCATCAAGTCAGTGCAGGATTAACAAAAAAGGTTAGCCCCCATATATAACAGATTACTGTTGAAACGAGCTAATGGTTTCTATTGTTGTTTTTTCAATATATTCATATGTCAAATTGCAGCAGAGAGCTAACTGAATTAAGCATCTATACTTCAACATATAACAGGTGTAGCTTTACCCTCAATGAACCTCTGGTCCCATAATATCATGAAACAAACACAAGCTGGAATTGATCTCAATATCTGCATTATTACTTTACACCTATGTTGCTCGGACTCTCCGAAAATATGGCCGGATACGTGTCGGATCCTCCAAAAGTAGTGCATTTTTGAAGGATCCGACACGGGTGCGGCTACATTTTGGAGAGTCCGCGCAACATAGCTTTACACAGTACCTCAATCCGTAAATACTACAAGTACTTTTCTTTACCTTTTCATCAGAAAAATAAATTCCTTCATACCACCTGCTGGCTCATGGAAAGGTTAGCAATCTCAAGGATACCCACTATATTGAGTGAGTCAAACTTGTTCCAGGCAGTTTCCCACATCTTACAATCTCCAGAACTTCTCATTAACAAAAATGAAGTTGGAATTAATTAAGACCAAATCTTCCGCTCTTTGTTCTATTATTTTGTTCTCTTCCCTAATGGACAAAAGCATATGTAGTACAATTTCTATCCTAGCATGATAGATGAAGTAGATGAAGTGAGTTAAAGTAGAAGCTTAGAGACAAACTTTGGAGTGTAGGTGCATAGAGACCGTACATGGCCATCAACTCGTTGGATCTGTCAAATGATTTACTTGCAATACAATCATACTCAAAGAGGCTCCCTTATTTGTTGAAAAATTAGCATATTATATCACTAATTTGGTCAATTCAGAGGTTCTGCAGATTATCTCTTAAAATGCATGCCCCTCCCTGTATCATCTTCTAGTGTTTTCAAAAGTGGAAAGTGCAAAAAAAAAAAAGAGAAGATTACTGGGCTCTAACGGAGAAGCAAGAAGCTAAAAGCATGGTTCTTCCAGATGAAGTGCAGAATTTTCAAAAGCTATAAGAATTACCTAATGACCGATAGATCTTTATTGGTAGATCTGAATGAACGCGTGTGGATATAGTGATGGCGACGGAGAACATGGGGGATATGGTACTAGGAATAGGGAAAGGATATTTAAAAGTTCGACTTAGCTTATGAGTTAATTTTAGCGAACACATTCTAAGAAGAGGAGGCACACTTGATAACATTTATTATTGGAGATGACCATAGACAAATAGACTTTGTCTTTGGCAGATATTTGCAGACTGGAAGAAGTGGATTTGCATACTAGAAGAAAAAAGAAAAAGTTATTGCTTAAAGAAGAAAAAAAAAGGAAGAATTAAAGAAACATAAATAGTAGAAGAAGAGGCATTACAAACTCGAGAAGAAGACAAGGACGACAAAGAGAATATTGAAGTATGCAAAGGAGTCTCAGTACTCAATAACATAATGTCCTTTTTCACCCTTCCTTCCTTTGTTTATTTTTACATCTTTGTTTTGAATAAAGTTTCCGCTTTTACCTTCTTAAGCGAGACACAAAGAAGCAGTTGTTTCTTTTTTGCGACCAATTCATGTCTTTGATTACTTCACTTGGGCCTTGGGTATTGACTTTTAGCTACCTAAGCCTTAAATCCTTCTGTCAATGGTGAATCCTTGGTTCACAACCAAATCAGTGCCATATAGGTTTCTCTTTGTACTTTACCAGGACATGCGCTTCACATCACTCAGGAAGCAATAATCCCTTGCTTTATATCCCTCAATCAGTTTAAGCTATGAATCAATGGCTTTTATTGACACTGCTGTCTCTGTCTTTACACCTCAATTACTGGTTATGCGCCTCCTCCGAACCAAGTACAAGAAGCAGGCTAAGTTCCCCTCCTCTTATGGTGTAGTCCGTTCACTCATTTGAGACAGTGAAGTATCTAATATTCACCTTACACAAAAACGTTTTGTAATGTGGCATGTCTGAAGAAAAGCATTTTTTCAATTTATAAATTGTCTAAAGGAATGTGTGTTAGCAAAGATCTCATAGATGCTTCTCACTAGACGCCATTATCAAAAAAGGAAATGTTTCTGAGTAGACTTATAGGTTTGTAGTACTTGATGCTTGATGTCTGGTCCTCCTAGATAAGTGCAATGAAAGTTGTACTAATGCTCTTGTCAGGTTCAGGATGTAAAAAGAGAACCTCCTTAATTATTATTTTAAAATATGGTTTTAGCATCGGTTTTAGAATTTCATGTTCTGGTAAACTTTTGTAAGACCTAAATTTAGTTGCCTCTTTGTAGAGATTTATGTTTGGAATTCTCTATTTATGCATATATCTTGTACAAAATATTTTTCCGACCGTGTGAATTAATTTTACTTATCTTAAAGAGCAAGCATAGAGCTCAGGGGAAAAAAAGGAATAAGCTTCAGCTCCCCTTGCTCTTCTTTTCTCTCAACTGCCATCTGGTCTCTCTTGCTATTACGTAGCCTCTTTTTTTAATCATTAAACATTAAGAATAAAGAACAGAAACTCTTAGGCTTGTTTCTTCATCCTCATCTTTTCCTCTTTAAGTTTTTAGTTTTAAATTCAATTCATGATCTGAAAAAAAGGGGGGGGGG